AGGCCAGCTTCTGTTGGAAGCCCCATCCCATAATAAGACATGGTACGCTCTAAGGAGAGGTCTGTGGAGTACAGCAGAGTAATCAAAACCAGAGACCCACAGAACGGAGTCCCTGAAAAGAAGCAAAATGACAGAAAAAGAGATATAAGACACAAAAAGCAATTTTTACTCAGTCATTTATGGATATTTAATGAAAACTGGTTTTCAGTTTGTGCAAGTTCCAGCATCTGGGAGATTTGAAGTAGAAACTGGTTAGCGATGAAGCCGCAGAAAAGATTCAGGATACAGCAAACATGGAAATTCCTAAACAGGAGCGCCTTGAAAGTGCACCGCATCTGGGAAGGCTTATCTAGATTCTGATGCTGAGGCTGAAGAAAAAGGACGCATGCTGCCAAAAGCAAATCCTTGGGTATTCAGGTTACTGGCGTATTTTGAAAGTTTAATTTTTCCCAGACAATGAGGGTTTAAGAAAAACTAGGAGAGTTATGAGTTGTGTGTCCCTCCCAAGCCAATGGGAGGAAATTAATCCTTAAGCCACAACATAAGTGAGAGTCAAGTGCCTCTTAAAACAAGCACTAAGAAAGGCAAAGTTTCCATCCATCATATCCCGCTAATTTCATCTTCCATTTTAGGGGACTTTAGTTGCCTGTAGAAAAGAAAATATTTTACATAACTGAAATAGATCTCCGCATTTGATAGATCTCCTATCAAATTTTAAAATTTTTCATCCACTTAATAGTGATAAAGTAGTGATTCTGTTATTAGTTGGAAGAGCATTTGGGAATGTAATCATCACTGTGTCAACTTACGAGAGATACAAATGGTATCTGGAAGCCAAAGTGGCCGGCACCATCGCTGCCAATTCTCTGCTTCTGGTGGTAGACCCATAAAGAGCCCATCTTTACCGATGACTTTTTATTGAGAATTTTCCATACATATGTCAATTATAGACTGCAAGTCAGTTACCTTGAGGCCAGCAACTGTGAAAGCTCTAATACATGATAAGATGTGGTACATTTTAAGGAGAAACCCAGGGCAAGCGGAGGAAAGGCTCTAGGCTCCCCCTGTGAAAGAAGAATAGGCTTACTTTCCCACTATATTGGGATGTAAGGAAAAACTAAGAGATTTCTGAATTGTGTGTTCCTACTAGGCCTAAGGGAAAAATTAACTGTTAAACCACAAAATAATTAAGTCAAGTGACTCTAAAACTTAGTACTAACAGAGGCTATTTACTATTATGTGTTGATTTGTTTGTTTGAGATGGAGTATCATCTGCAGTCCAGGCTTGCCTTGAAGGTGCAGTGCAGCCCAGGCCAGGCTTGAACTTGTAATTTGCCTGTCTCAGCCTCTCAAGTGCTAGGGTTATAGATTGTTGCTTTTGTTTTTTGTTTGTTTGTTTTTTAATTTAGAAACTTGTTGTGTAAATCACAAGCTTCATTTAGCTTTAGTTTAAAAAACAAAAACAAAACAGTGAAACCAAGACACTATTTCAAAGTCCAGGCCCTTCTTCCAGCTTCCAAATACAAGAGCTTTGAACATTATATATCCCAACTGGAAGAATATGACAAACATATGAATGGAGCCATGACATTTCAGAAAACAAAGATTTCGTATAACTGAAGGATCCATCCATCCTTCCTGGGATGACTTAACTGCCTTTATAAGCAGGGGGAGGGGAAAAAAGTGGGGACTGGAGATAAGGGAAGGAGAAGAGAAAAGAAACTCAGAACAGAGCAGAATCCAGTTCCAGTGTTCAAAATCAACGTGTCACGCATCCATGTAAGCCTAGTGTCCTGGAAAACAAGCTTTCCTTTTTCTCTCTCAACCTGGAGCTCAAATCCTGATTCCTTTCAGCAATGAATCCATGGGCAACAGGGAAGACTGTGGCATCAGAACATCCACTTAAGCTCCTGTGGTACTCCACCAGGGCTCTGATTCTGGACTAGCTTGCACACCATACAAGGCTGGAAGCAGAACTTAAATGGGTGTGAATATTCCAATAAGAAGAAGTAAAAAAGAAAAGAAAAAAAAAAGGGGAAAGCCTCCCTGGGAATAGCAAGGGGCATTTAAAGAAATAAGAATGCCAACAATAGTTAGCCCCTTTTTTAAAAAAAGAGATTTTTTTTGGCTTAAAATATTTTGCTCTAAATGAATTTATGTCAGATGTCAATGAAAAAAATGTCACTAATGCCCTCTGGACACCTTTTGCAATGTAAATCCATGCCCCCCCTTTTATATGGTGAATTTCAACCTATCAATTATTACAACACATGTTATAGTCTAAAGCTCAAACACATTTTAGCAATTTTGAAATTGAATTGAGTACAAACCAAATAAAATTTACATCCTAACCAACAATCCCCCCTTAGGACTGTGGGGACGCTTGAGCCTTCCACATGGATCCCAGAGCCTTTTCCCACAGGTGCTTCTCTAAGTCATCCAGGTCGTCTTCAGCTTCGCTCTCCTTCTTGGGCTCAGGGGCTGCCTTAGGTTCTTCCTGTGCAGATGTGGTTGTGGCAGCAGCAACAGCCACAGGAATAGCAAGAGCCGCAGTAGTTGGAGACATGGACTTTTCCTTCTTTTAGGTTTTCGTGTGTGTGTGTGTGTGTGTGTGTGTGTGTGTGTGTGCCCACACTTCTTGTGCTTCTTATCCTTTTTTTTTTCTTCCCACCTCATTCCTGATTAGAATCCTAGGCTGATGATGGGCTTGGTGTGGGGCTCTTAGCCTTCCTGGCCATTAGGAGTAAAGACTTGGGCCACCATGCCCAGTTATTATTTTGCATATAGCTGACTCTCTCAACCAGCTGCTGGTAAACTGTGGAACTGCATAACTCCCCACTCCATTGAACAGCCTTCTGAATGTAAAATGGCACGCATGGGAAGTGCCTTCAGGAGGAGTGTGAGGGGGCCAGAATGGCGTGCTCCCAACAACCTTCTTTCCAGAGTAACTATTTGTTTTATATTCTACTGGCTACTAAAAGTCTTCATTCTGGTTGTTAAATATTGAGATCAAAGTGTTGAGAATCAAGTTTCTGTATCAAGAAGGCTTAAAGCCAGATCTTAGACCAAAAGCAAATCATCTGAGCAATGCACAACTGCACTCCAGATCTGCAGTCTAAAACTCAGAGTTCCTGGGCTGGCCACATATCTCAGCAGATTAAAGTGCCTGCTTAGACAGACACAGTGTCCAGGGTTTCGATCTCTGGGCTGCCATGCCAGCCCCACCCCCAGGGCACACTGAGACAATGAATGAGACTGTGGGTGGTGGCCAGTGCCTGTAATCCCGAGCATGTGGGAGGCTGAAAACAGGAGGATCACTATGAGTCCTATCGGTGTAGTGAGACCCTGCAGACCCTGTACTAAATGCATTTAGAAGAAGAAGAAGAAGAGGAAGAGGAAGAAGAAAGAAGAAGAAGAAGAAGAAGAAGAAGAAGAAGAAGAAGAAGAAGAAGAAGAAGAAGAAGAAGAAGAAGAAGAAGAAGAAGAAGAAGAAGAAGAAGAAGAAGAAGAAGAAGAAGAAGAAGAAAACTCAGAGTTCCCCTAGTCTGCCTGTCACCAGACACCAGGCTCACCAATCACAGGCCCCTTCCAGACACACCTTCAGGCCTTCTTTCCTGGAACAAAAGCTCCTCTATCTATGAATCTTCATTCTGGGAGCGTAGATGCTATAAAATCAATGAATACCTTCTCATGCTCTTCCCTGGCCTAAGAACACTATAACTCTGCAAATCGTAATAATTTGTGGTAGGTTTATTAATGAGTGCAATAATACGTATGTGTAAAGCCCTATACTCAGCTAGGTGGAGAATTCCAGGCTGAGTAGCCCAGGTGTCAGAACCTGCACTCCCGCAGAGCAGATACAGCTGCAGTAACTCTCAGGCCTAACCACTGCAATAAAGCATAGCCTACGCTGTTTAGAACAAGAAAACATTTAATTACAACTAATGACCCAACAAGACTTCCTGGAAGGCTTGGCGCCTGAGCTAACTGCATGAGATGCCCTGGGGACAGTTACAGTCCAAGCAAGAGGGAGGTGAGTTCACCAGAACTGAATGGCAACTTTCATGTGACAGCAATCTGGATCTTGACAAGTACACTGTGGAAGTTAAGGCCAGATGGCTGAGTGAGAGACAAAGTAAGAAGGCTCCGTTTCTACCTGCAGAGTTTGGAAGCACAGTAGTGCTTCCTTCTCTAAGTTATCAAGATTACGGAAACATTAACCCACCACTGCCGTGGCTATTGAGGTCTGTCCACATCAGAAGGCATACAATCCAATAGCACATTCCGCAGGCCCTCCACGCTGTGGGTTCCTCCTCTGCAGGAGCCCCACTTATGGGTTCAACCAACTACACCTCAAAAATACATGGGAATGCATTTTAATATGTGTGAAGCATTCAGACGCTTTCCTTGTTGTTATTCCCAGTATAGGGTGACATCTATTTAAATAGTATTTACATCCTATTAGCAGTTGCAGATAATCTAGACATGATTTAAAATACAGGAAAGGTAGTGCATCTGTTCTACAAGGCACTTCAGCGTCCCTGGATGTGGGATTCCCAGGGACCCTGCCAGCAACCTCCTGAGATACAGGCGACAAATGTACAGAAACTATCCCATCCTTCTCGGCTGGCTTCTGTAAGTGACTTATCTACCGACGTTAAGACCTGAAAACTCAAGATCACCCCCAGCTGTGAGCCCCACTGAAAAGCTAGCACTTGGTGGAGCAGAGGACATGGGGCCTTTCCCTCTAAGCCAAATCCCAGGAAAGCTCTGTTTTAGCAGCCCAGCTTCGGGTTCCTCTGCCTCCCCGAGCTCCATCAGCCCTTGTACACCGCAGGTCCTAGGCTGGGGCGGGCGGGTATCATCCCTCGCGGGAATAAGCAACAACAATAGCAGCACAGGATGTTCTGGTTCTTCAGGCTGTCCGGGATTTCCAGCTTGAACACTTCCTGGAAACCTTCACCGCTTCTCTTGCGAAATCTAGCGGGCCCTCCCTCTGCTCCTAGGCTTCTTATAACCCTGCGGAGCGCAGCGGGCGCCCAGCCAGCTCCAACCGCGCTTCCTCTCGAGCCCAGCCGTGCAGGACCAGACCTCCCTCCCGCAGGTGAGGTTTCCCAGCTCGGCTGGCGCCTGGCGCCTCCCCGCGCTCCCTTCGCTCCCTCGCCTGCCTCAGCCCGCTCTCAGCCCAGGTTGTCCGGTCGCTGCTCCGAGCTCGCGGGCCCCAGCACTCCATCGGGCGCCCTATCCGTTAGGCGTTCGCGCGCTTCCACCTTCTTGCCTGGAATTGCTCATCACCGCCACCCCTGGTGCAGAAAGCCTGAGGGAGGTCGGCTTTGGTTCTGCAGCTTGCTTCTGGGTTGGTGGGAATCTTTGGTGCCAATCAGAAGGGAGACTGAAGAAATATGGGCTGCCAGTCTCTCCCTTCTGAGGCGGATTATTGACCAACAGCTGGAAATTTGTCCTGAGATTGTAACCTCTTCGATCTGGAACTAAGTTTCCTTCGGCGTTTTAACAATTGCTTTAAAAGAGAAATGTTTGGATTGTAATTTACAGGAAAACGAAGCTAAAGCCCTATTTCTCTGTCCAGAGCAGGTGGAAAGTAGCTTTTTTCCCCTCTCCTCGGGGTGGTTAACTTGAGAGTTTTCTTTGAAAGGTGACTGGTGTGGTGGGACATGAATCTTATGATGGGAGAGGGTGTGGAGAGTGCTGTACTCCTGGCCCAATACCTCAGCCTCAATTCAGATGTAAATTGAAAGGCTGTTGGTCCAGAGGATCCACAAAGCCCAATTCAAGCCTTGTGACTTAAGGGGATGAAGTTTTGCAATGTACTAGAAATGCCATTAATGCTACAGGTATAGCTGAGTAATTACTTTTTTCATGACAACACAGGCACACTTTTATAAGGGAGAGGTACTGCCCTTCGGGGCATGCTGAAGTCCTACCACATTTATCATTCAGGGAATATTCTCAGCTTTCCAAGTAATCCTCAACCTTGTTATGTGAGACTGTCCTATTCTACATAAATGGCAGGCATATAAATGTCACTCACAAGAATTTCTTTTTCTGATGTGGTAGGTGTGATTTTATAAAATGGCACATTTATTTGAAGCAGTAACTTTCTTGAGATATGGCCTTTTGCAAAGCCCCATTCTTTTCAAAATGCTGTGGCTTAGCATTATGCCAGGCTCTACCTGCATGCATTTCACCAGCAAGGTGAGCCCAGCCATCCCAGAAGGCAGAGTGAAGCAGCCCCTGCTGCCAGGCCTGGGGCTGTAAAGCAAGAGGTACATGTGTACTGAGAATTTGGCTCCCAGCGCTTTCTCCATTTGGCAACATTTATGGTTTTGCTGAAGTCCATATATAGCAATTGGAGGGCTGGCCAAGTAGCTCAGCAGATTAAAGCACCTACAAGCAGGCGCAGGGGATGGGGTTCAATCCCCAGGTCTTCCATGACAGCCCTGCTCCCGGGGGATGATGAGATGGCAATTGAGACTGGGCATGGGGATGTGTGCCTGTAATCCCAGCTCTTGGGAAGCTGTAAACAGGTGGATCTCTACAAGTCAGATCTAGTAGTGAGACCCTGAACACCCTGTAGACCCTTCCATACAATACAGAAAAAAGAAAAAAGGTAGCAATTGGAGGCTCAGAAAATGTATGCAGGAACTCACCCCTAATTTAAGAATGATTTCCTGAGGCCTACCTTGTTTAAGCTCACTGACTGTTTTTTAGAAGGAACTAAGATTTTCATAAACCTGTAAGTAAATTGGAAACCTAAGCCATGCACAATGTCAACAACTTTAAAAAACAGGTTTGTTTGTCATAGAAACTCATATTTGGAGCAGCTATGAACAACCATTCTGTTACCTTATCTTTTAAAAGGCCACTCCTAAGCAACCTACAGTCATTAATACCATTAGTAAACAGGTAAGTGTTCTCCTTTGAAGGTCTAAGTAGCTGAAGTGCAGTGGGACTTGGAAACACATTTCAGTGTTTCATGATCCTAGCCCTCTAGTTCTCTCCATGAGCAACTGAGGTACATTTTATCAACTGCTGTCTAGAAATCATCTCCCTGGAAAATCGTAGGAAAGCTGATAAACTGCGAATGAAGCAAAAATGAAAACCCTATAGCACAACAGACCTTCAAAGCTTGAAGACTTGCTAGGGCACCTTGTAGTTAGTTTCTCAGAGGGTGAAGTTGTTTGTTAAGAGACTCCAGCTACGTCTGCCTATAAGCCCTCCACTGAGAATCTAGAATACACTGAATAATAAATTTGTGGAGGTGGGCTTTTGGGATTTTTTTTTAAGCTTCAACTAGGAAATAACAGAAATAAGATTTAGAAAGATAAATTGTTTGACTTTCCTTTATACATCCAAAGGGAATAATTCACTACGAAGTCTTCCTAAAGAGTTCTGCATGACACGTTAAACCTCAGAATTCTTGCAGTGGTTTCTTATAGGTCATGGCCAAAATGGCTTGAACTAACACGTGTTCTTTTGTTAAGAAGAAATCAGTTCTGTGAGGAATAAAACAATAAGTAGCAAGAGAATAACTAATACTTAAAACAATGTATGATAGTATTTGGTTTGTATGTATCAACAATTTGTTCTTTCAAAGTCATGAAGGCATTTAGAACACAGAATGTGCATACTGTTTGAAGACTATCAAGAATGCACTAGGCCACTGCAAATCTCCATGCTCATTCACCAGGCTCAATGTTGATATCCTAATCTAAATTCTTCTCTGCATTGTTCTACAACAGTGAATTTAGCCACAAAGAGAGAGGTGTTATCACACTGTCCTTTGATAGTCACATACTTAGGAAAAGTTATTTTGAGAGTCACGTTTCCTTTACATGTAGATTGCATGATCAGTCTTAATCATTCAATAAAATAGAGTTCATTTTTTTTATCTTAAAAGAAAATGCACTCAGAGGGTAACTTTGAAAAGTAAGGAACTATAATTCTGAATAAAAAGACAACCAAGATGTGACTTAACTATGTCACCTATTTCTTGAGTTATTAGTAAAACATACTCTTCTGAACCTCAGCACTCGAAGAGAAAAGCTACATGAAGACTGTACCAGGGCTCCCCGCAGATCTGCAGTAAGCCCTAAACAGGAGTGGAGAGTGCATGGTTAACACTGGGGATGCATCGTTCACCTCAGTCTGCTGTTTTTATAGAATGGAAACTTCAACCCTAAATTAAATCGTGGCCAGAATAACTTTGCACAGGCTTTGGTCAACTGTCTTGCCCTGTTTCCCAGCAGGTAATACCCCCCAACTATCCTCCCCAGGGTTTCTGGCTTCTCTGCACCTTTCTCTGCTCTGGCTCTTATACAGTGCGTCTCAGCAGTTAGATTATATGCCACATCCTTCCCATTTCCAGAGATCCTGGAGTCGTAGGTCATCTAAGTTATCCCTTTAACCCTGTTGTGCAACATAGAGGCTGTTCAGGAAATCTCTGCTGAAAACATGAAGGCATGCCAAGTAATTAATTGATGATAATACCAAAACTTGTTTAGAGTGTGTGGCCACTGTGGACATAGTAGATAAGTATGAACGCAGCCTGCACTGGGTTAGTTAACAGGATCAGAGAGCAATGACAAAGTCCAGATCTTAACTATCTACCATTTGGGCAGAAGTATGTGATTGTTTTGTATGAAACAGTACATATAAATAGCTCAAATTATTACAATTATTTGAAGTAGTAACTGTGGGAAACTTGCTGTTTTGTGTTCCATCATTTCAGTAACCCAATTATGTTGCTACGCTGGGTAAGCTTTTTTTAATAAATTTAAAACTGTAATACTTTGGATTCTAAGTAGTACCTTGGATTCTAAGTTATTTAAAGAATTAGTCATGGAATAATTTATTGTAATTAATAATAAAAGTGTCAATTGCACACTTTTCCTAAATTGAAGTCCAAAAGTGTGTTTACCCTATTTTTCAAGCATGCTCGGGAAATTAGAAGATGGTGTTCAGGGACAGTAGTACACAAAGTGTTCCTGAATTCATTTCCCTAAGGGGACCAAGAGTCTAAATAGATGAGGTTTACAGTCAAAATTGTCTCAACTCTGCGTGTAGCTGAGCAGGGCCTGGGACTTCTGTTGGGATGTGATAGCCACTTGAGTTCCACTTTAATTATGAACCTGAAGGCCTTCAGGGAAGGGAGACCTCTACAGAAAGAGACTCAGACCTAACAGACAGTCACCATGGAAAAAGTAGTGTCACTCTGCCTTCCCAGTCATTTTCCATCACCATGAGGATGTTGCCATAGCTTTGGTGGGAAAGGGGACAGAGGTGGGGAAAGAACCAGTGGGGCAGTGTTACCCAGCAAAAGACAAAGAGAAGTCCTGACTTGGAGCACTGGGTGATTCTCATGGTCCAAATACTGCCCCCAGGGCTGATTTCAGGCTCCCAGTTGGCAGGGCATGTCCAGCCTTGCCGAGGGACTGGGTTGAGACTAAACAGTCACAGGAGGAGCTGAGTGTTAAAGCACAGGCTTTGAGTGAGAGAGGTCCTGGGTCCGATGGGCAGCACGAACATAAAGGAGCTAATGTTTAAATTTTTTATATTAATTTTATTGAGAAAGAAATAGCAATGAAACCATTTCAAAACAGGTTTGTAGGACAGTTACAATGATTAATACATTGCATGTTGTTGTCTTTGTAGTAGTTATTCATAGTACAAGATGCAGACATGATATCTTGTGTAAACACTATTAGTTCAAAACTTTCTTCATGTTGAACTAAGAGAAAGTAGCTGTATATCTATGCTAAGTATTTTGTGTATACAGATATATGGTTTTAATTTAATTGTATTCATCAACTAGCACCACTCTCAAGGTAACTAAAGGATGTGGGAGGGAAGTTTTCACCCTGGGGTAAAAGTACAGCAGCCACACCTGCTGAACTTCAGCAAATGTTAGAGGTACTATCAAGCAAGGTGTGCAGGAGCTAGATAAGAAGATAAGGAGAAGATACCAAAACAACATCGGAGAGGCTAAGCGTCCCCAGGAAACTTCTGAAAGGAGTAAGAAAATGCTTTGACACAGAATGCAGTTTCCTACAGGAAAACTTGCAGGCCAGGGTAAAATTCACTGCAAAACTGCTTTCTCCCTAAACGGCAGAGGCAGCTGTCATATTGAAATCATTCCCGACATGTTTAATATGAAGACACACTCCAGTTCATAGGAAATTTTGTTTGAACAAAGTTAATTAAAATTATCAGAACACTTCCTGTATATCTCTGACTACAGTAAACCTAGAAAAACGAAACCCCTTACTTGGCATTAAATATTAGATTGTCACAGATCATCAACTTAAGCAAATGCTTATATGATATGTATAAACCAAATACCGCAAAATCAGTGAGCCAGGTTGATTTTTCCAATAGGGGTGATCCACTGGTCCTGGTCCTAGTGCCAATCTTTGGGGAACCCCAGATTTGTGAGTTGTTTGGAATTAAAAATGTAGGGCGAGGCCACATAAATTATCCAAGGCATGATCGAACCTGTGACCCTGTTGTCATGTGCACCAGGCTCTAATCAAGCAGATCTAACCAGCCTAGACAGCAACTAAAGCACCTCCTCCATGAGACTCTTGGCCAAAAACCCATAAATACATCTGTCTTCACTTATATGGCCAGGTGCTGCTTGGATCTATATGTAACAGACCGTACAAGTGAAATTTTGTGTTGAATTAAAATATCAACAAAGAACTAATAGATAAGCAATTTTTCTGTGAAGTACAATGTAAGTCATTCGTAAAGCTACTGTGCACCTCGCTCTCCCAGCTCAATGGGTGGTGGTGAGATGTCACTAAGAGAATCGATGTAGCTACAGCAGGTGCCGTTGTCAGTTCCTAGATATTGACTGACAGTTTCTGTGGAAGGATGTACAAGGGGGGATCAAAACTGTAGCATTGCATAGTGTTATTTTCAGAGTAGTTGCTCAGATTACCGGGTATAGGCATGTAAGATTGGTCAAACAATATAAACACTCATTGTTCCTTTCAATAAACTAACAGAAATTAGTAAAATTACCTTAGCTATCTTGTGTGTGTATTTCTATATCTATGTTTATATATTTACCTATATGTCAATATATCTATATATTATCATCTCATTCTGAAATTCTATATCATTTTTGTTTTTATTCTCTTTAAAATGAATAAAATTAAAATGCAGTATTAAAGATGTATTGCATTAGTCCCTCTCCAAATGCTCTCCCTCTTCAAAGACACACCCTGTCCTTCTTGTCACTTTCTAAAGCAATTCTGAAAGTCTGTTTTCTTGAGTGTTTTTACAAGGAGTGATCAAAAATATGGTGCATGCTGCCTGAGAGTGTCACCTGACACCAAGGCAGGCTCCTACAAACGTTGCGCCGCTTCCTCATCCACACATTCACCATATCTCACCCTGCACATGTTCTGGCTTTTTCCCAAAGTCAAAATCACTAGTAAATATTTTCAATCAATTCAGGACACTGAGACAGCCATGTTAGTGCAACTAAAGATAAAGAACGGTTATGTGAAGGTTGTCTTCTGTTATGTTCCTGTGACTCAGTCAAAACGAAAAAGTTAAGATCATGGAATGCTCTTTTGTGTCATCTTATTGGTTCACATAAAAGCTAACCTTAAACCAGGTATCGATCAATAACTAATACCGCCACTGTGGCAGGCGAAAGCAGAAGCATTATAAATTCAAACATGGTCCGGTAAGTTAGTGAAGCCCTGTCTTAAAAGAAAATAAAAAGAAAGAAGGAGAGAAATTTTGAAAGTTTTACAGGCCTGGACCTGTAGTGTGAAAGTACAATGAGAAATTCTCAGTACAATAATAGAGAGAGAGAGAGAGAGAGAGAGAGAGAGAGAGAGAGAGAGAGAGAGAGCCCACCTACTCTAAGTAAATTAGGTGGCTATGGGACATCTCACAAAACAACTGAAGTAATTTGTTTTTCAGAAATAAATCTTGTTACTGAAATAGAAAGCTTTAAACTATAGATATCTGTTATCCAATTTATTATGGAACTCATAAATTCCTGATTTATCCTGACACAATATTGCTTTAATTTTTACTTTGATTACTGCGGTAATAAGAGACTGGGCCACGAGATGAGACATGCAGACATCTGAGAAAGGAGACGCGTGGTCTGAAAAATAGTTTGGGTAAGCTTTAAAACTCTTTAATTCAGGGGCCGGGAGATGGTTCAGTGGAATAAGCACTTCCCTGGCAAGCGCAAGGGCCTGAATTCAATCTCTAGTATCACAAAAAAAAAAAAAGCAAAAACAAAAAAAAAAAACCTCTTTAATTCAAGTTTGTCTTCCTTCTCAGTAAAAACAATGGTGTGTGTGTGTGTGTGTGTGTGTGTGTGTGTGTGTGTGACATTTAACAAACACAAGTTAGAAATAGTTAGAATTATAATTTCTAGTTGAATTATATCTTAATTTAAAAATGATTTATCCTGCTTCTGGCTGATTCCAATTAAAAAGGTGCAAGTTTGTGGTTGCTGTCCAGCTGACCCAGCCCTTGAGAACACATTCTTTTTTATCACTCTGCTCTAAAGACCCCCAAATGTGCAGGAGCATCTCATAATCTTCAGTTTATACGACCAATTAGGAAGTTGCTTTAAAATGTCCAAAAGAGCTTCTCTACTAATCAGACTGGCAATTATTTTCATAGAGTATTTGTGTAAGAGTGCGCCTGTGTTACCTCCGCTGCTGTCTACACCTCGCTTGGCCATCTGCCTGAGGAGACATCTCGGGAAGCACATCCTCCACCGAGTTTCAGTTTGCTTCAGACTACCAGGTAAAAGGAATGATGCCCAGTCCAATGTGAATTTCATATTAAAAGTTTTTAGTGTGTGCCCCAAATAAACAAGGGATATATTTGAACCAAAACATTATTCATTGTTTAGCAGAAATTCAAATTTAATTGGGCATTATGTATTTTTATTTGCTAAATCTAGCAATGCTCACTTGGCTGGCAAACTTCCTTAGATACTTAGGCTGACAAGACCTAGAAAACACACGGCTCTTCTCTCTCTCAGCATTTTTATACCGTAACCCTGTTCTATAATCTTCAGAACACTTACTACCATCTGAAATCATTTATTATTTATGCACATACTGTCCAACATTTTTACAATAATGTACACACAGGAATTTTTATTAAAGAGAATAAAAAATAGTAAAAATAAGATATTAGGAATGATGCTGAATTTCTAAACAAAGGAATAGGAATTCAACAATGGTTGTTATATCACACAAAACTTGGTTTTGAAGCACCCAAATTTGAATTTCTAGCTTGTCACTTTTAAGGAGTTAAAAATACTTTTAAGGGCTAGGGATACAGCTCAGAGATAAAGAAAGTGTTTCTTTAGCATATACAAGGCACCAAGGCACTGACTTCTATCCCTGGCAACACACACGCACATACACACACACATACACACATGCATGTACACAAAATTTTAACTCACTAAGATATCTGTATTCTTACCTGTTCCATGTCATGCCTAAGATATTTTATATTCAGACAGATAGTGAGGTTAAGCTCAACTTCCTAGGTGGTAGGTAATAACAATAAGCTTCTCTCCTGAAGGGTTAACAACCTAAGTTTGCAGACCAAAAATTAGAGAAAAAGGAGGGCTGCAAGAATAGCCAGCATTTTGGCCCTAGCCTTTCAAGGTCAGTGAAGACTCAGGACACAGGAGAACCAGTACTGTAACCTCATGTAACTCAGTTGTGTCCCCAATTTTCTGATCAAGGAGATTATGGGGCCACAGAGGAAAGTGATTGATGATGTAGAGTGTGCCAAAGGAGTGTCACATGGAGAGAAAACATTCTCTCAGGCTTTCACAGAGAGCAAACTGGTCAAGCAATGGCCATAAGTCATCGACATGGCTAACACTGACAAAGGATCTACAAACTGCAGTACAGAGTTTTAGGATAAATCCTGAGGGGATTTGACTGACCTTATCAGACACAAAGTTACATTACTTGTTATATAGGTCTTGCTTTATCTTGGTCTTAACTATCCAGCAGAAAAGTATTAAAACGAAGTATAAAAAGTAAAGCCATATTAATCTGCTGAGCTGTAAAAGGCTCAAATCAACAACTTCTTTTTTCTTTTCTTTCTTTGGTGGAACCGGGGATTGAACTCATGCCCTTGTGCTTGCCAGGCAAGCGTTTATTCCACTGAGCCATCCCCCTGGCCAAGTCAACAACTTCTGCCATTGCCAGTCTTACGGAAAACCCACTACTATTATGGGCTACTCGACTACATTGGAATATTTTGATGAATTCAGGCACCTACAATATTTAAATGACAATGGAATACCCTTCTCTGACAACACTAAACAAAAAAGGGGGATACAAATGAACGAACATTTTGTATCTCTATGTTCAAAATAGTTAGGATATATACACAGCTGCATTCTCTTGGATCACTGAATAGAGAGATGTGTTCTAATAGTGTTTGTGGACAGGATACCATGTCTGCATCTTGTACGAAGAATAACCACTAAGACAACAATATGCAATGTATTAATTATTGAA